CAGACGATATAGTCCTTCTAGGTGAGGACGCTGACAAAATGCAGAGTCTCCTGAACATCTTGAGATGCAATCAATCTACGAATGTTTGTCATGCGATTCGCTCTTGCTGCTGTCAAATGTAAGATGATGTTACAGGACTGGACTACACTGACACCTAGGTTAGAAATGGGGAGTGAAGTGGTAGAGCACGTTGACCGCTTCACTTATTTGGGAAGTACCATCAACCAGTGCCAAAGGGTTGATCTCTGACGAAATCTCAGCTGAGTACGGATGCAGAAGGCTAGTTTTGCATATGTCAGTTTACGCCATTTCTGGCGTAGACGTGATATCCGGCTGGTTGTCGACCAAAGGGCGTGTGTACTGCTCATCAGTCCGCTTCGTCCTTCTTTATGGCTGTGAGATCTGGCCGTTGAAAGTGGAAGATATGAAGAAGCTGGCTAGCTGTCTTTGATCATAGGTGCCTGCGTTCTATTTCCTGTGCAAAATCCTATGATAGGGTGAGCAATATTGAGGTTAGGCGTCGAGTTCTAGGTAAGCAGGGGAAATCAATCGATGGGGCTGTGAAATTACACCGACTGAGATGGTTAGTACCTGTGTTACGTATACCAAGTCATCGCCTACCTCGACGACAGGCAATGTTAGCTGACAGGGTCGGGTTGAAAAAGAGTTAGCTAGTGGTGGCCAAACCAAAACATGGCGTCATGAGTCAGTGCAATCCACAGCATTTAGTCTAAGCCATGTAGGAAGGTGTAGACTTCGTGACTGATTGGGGTCCTCGTGACGGTAAAAATCAATGACTGGAGACAATTGGTGATATGGCTCAAAATCGTTCTCAATGGCTGGCTCAGATGCATCCACTCCTTGTGACTTATAATACCCAGTGAAACTATATTGTTCTTCGTTATTACTATTCCTTTGTCTGACACCTCTGTTTACTGTCGCTATTTTGCATTCCTTTCTACTTTGTTCTGTTGCTTTTGTGTGCTACATGGAGGGAATGTGGCGGCTTGAACTGCCGCACATGTGTGCAAAGTTCTATGTCGGAGACAGACAGACATTAAATAGTATATATTAATATATGTGTTATATATTTGACCCCGAATAGCTCAGTGGTATCGTCTCTGACTGCAGTAGGTACTGAGTGACGCGGGTTTGAATCTTATAAGAGACGTGAATTCCTTCAAAGTTGCAGATACGTCTTGCTGACAAGTGCCGACTGGCACGAAACCTAGGTGTAGCCAAGGCTTCCTGCCTATCGCCTCCAACTATCTAATATCCATTAAATGGTTTCCCTAACTTCAGTCAAAGAAAACATCACTTTTGGAGTCAGCATGCTTAACAGTTAGTTAGAATAGAATGAATGACAACAAGCTAAAAATAAAGCTGTCTAAGAAAACATACATAGTTCCGCGTAATACGAATTTGGTACAATTCCCATAGCACACGCAAAGACGGATGAAATCGCCTAGTTATCTGAAGTTCAGTAGATGGACTTGTTGCAGATGAATAGAATACTTAAACAATAGCTACACACCTCCTACACTCACTAATCCCAGCAATTATAGAAATGAGCTATGCCAGGTGTTGAATCGATGTTTTCTTGCTGAAGCGAACTGCTCAACATAATCAATCATTAGTCAATAATCATCAGACAATATTAATTAGTTCACAACGAATAAGGCAGGAAAAAACTATTCGTGCCTTCGTACCTGCTTGAATTTCCTAAAATAAAGTCTATGGAACAACAAGTAAACAAGTAAGCAACTGGCTTAAAACAAAACCTTATGAATCACCATTATGAAAACGAAAAACAAGTATGGCTAATACTACAGGAGGGAGGGAGAGAGATTAACTAAATTCTACCTCGGAATGAATCACACATCTCACTTATAATTTCAGTATCAGTCCTACACCATTGGCAGGTATGTATATAAATAAATATATCAGTAAAGTATTTCGTAAAAGATAATGGAGGCCTAGGTAGAATACTAGTGACAACGCCTGGTAACATCATTATCTGTTATTGAAACACTTCAAAAGAAGATGCAACACCTATAGGCAAGATAGTTGCTGTCATATGTTGATGTAGCAAAACGAAAAGAGGAATGATAGATAAGGAGTGTGTGTGTGTGTCAGCAATGTATACATAAGTGACATGTAGATAGATGAAGGAGAAAGGAATTAAGGGGGGCAAACCAGCATAAGTCATAAAAAATGAATGCTAAAAAGTCCTACAGTCGGTATATGAATATAAAACCAATATCATAATCATAACGGATATACTTAAAACATGCGTTATGCATTATCTCCTGACTCATAAAAAGAATTCCAGAATTTAGAACATTTTATATATATACAGGAACCAAAAACAATCAAATCGATATTGTAAACGATTGTCCCAGTAACTATGCAGTTACAACATGTCTCAAGTTCTTCTGTTTACTCCGGTTAATTATACTACTAGACCCTCTGGTTTATATATACCATACCATACGGGTTAACTATGACACATGTTGTGTATACAACAACATAAACTAAACGATCCATTTTAGCGTTGCTGCTGTATAGCCTGCTTGCAATAAACTTTTAACGGACAAAAATTAGAGATGATGAAAACACAATCAACTCTCTAAATTAGCATAGAGAGATAATGATAAATGTTTCACAACTATCAGTGAGGTTGTGTTTATGTGTGCGTGTGTGTATATGTATAGCACGGAATAAATCGTGTCACTAGTTATGCACAGCATATGAAGTAACAGTAGTAGTGGTAGTAGTAGGTGATGGTGGTGGTATGCCCGAAAATTAACCAGAACACAATAATTAGTGCACAAAGATCAGGTTATAACATAGAATGTAGTCAGTCACTAAACGCATCAACAGTATGACCATTATTATCATCATTCATCAATATTGTTTATCACAATCACTATCCTCTAGCTGATTTCAGTTCAATGAAGCAAGGTAAAGGGGTGGGAGAGATGAAAAATGCATTCAGTCTTAAGAAGTGATAGAAATAAATAAACATTTAATTATAGGATAGTGTAACAATGATAAAATAAAATAAGGACAATTGAATAATTTAACAGTAACAATCTATGCTAGTACCACCAGTTCAGTTGTTATCGATTAAAACTAAGCGGAGAGTAACACAATCAGCATCGTGAAAAATGAATGAAAGAATGATCTTCGAAATTGCTCAGTAAATGTTGACGTTTCTTATGGTTGGAAATCAATTTGCTTATATATATCTCATATATACTGCAAACATGTTGATAAAATACGGTACTCTGTTGAATGAGATAAAGCGTTAGAAACTTAAAAGGCTAATTTATTGAGAGCTGATTATGCCACCCAGTTGCACTGAATGAATAAGGTGGAGTGGTGGATGAACACTCAGGCCTGGCTCCACATCTGTCCACAGGCTTTCATCTCCTCTAAGCATGACCTCCTCCATGTCGTCCTTGGACGATCAACTCGCCGATTCCCATTCGCGTTCCACTCGAGTGATGGCCTGGTGTGTGATGTCAGTTGATGGTTTTCTCAGAGTATGGTCAATCCATCTCCATTTCTTCCTGCATATTTATTCCACACTCGATTCCTAGTTGGTTTGCATCCAGAGATCCCTGTTGGTATTCTTTTCTGGCAATCTGATCTTAAATATCGAGCGAAGACAGCTATTAATGAAGGTCTGTAATTTGTTAGAGGTGCTCTTTATGAAGCGCCAAGTCTCTTATCCGTATAGTAACACTGACTTCACATTGGAATTGAAAATCCGGATCTCATTTTTGACGCTGATTGCTGTTGACCTCCACACAGACTTGAGCGAAATGAAAACTCACCTTGCTTTCCCGATCTTCGCTTTGATATCCTCATCAGTTCCGTCAGTCTGCAGTTGAACGATGCTTCCCATGACGGTAGGTAAAGGAGATTGCTTCTTTCAGGTTTCTTCCATTCATGCTGGCTGATTGTTGTCTGTTGTGTTTTGTTGCTGTTGACCTCTCTTTTCTTATGTTCACCTATTTGATGTTTCTTCTGCCAACTTGTTGCTTTTCACCTGCTTATCTTCCAGTTTGTGGGAAATCAGACATATATCATCGGCGAAATCCAGATCCTCCAAGTTTTTTGTATGGGTCTATTTTATACCTGTCTCCACGTTGCCCGCTCTACCCATTACTCAGTCTACCGCAATTAGGAAAATCATTGGAGATAGTAGGCAGCCAGCCTTGTCTTACTCCCGTCTTCACTTCGAAGGATTCTGTGAGTTTCCCGTTGTAGATTACTTGGCACGCAACATTGTCGTACAACTGTTGGATGAAAGGTATAATTTTTGGCAGCACCCTGGAGTAGCGAATTATTTTCCGAATCGAGCCTGTTCCGGTCGAAGTTTTTCATCCAGGGCGTGTTTGATTCTCTCCAGGATGATGGAGCTTAGTATTTTGCTTGGGATGGGCGGGGGCATAATGCAGAGCCAGTTCCTGCATTGACTTGAGTCTTCTTTCTTTGGCAGTTTGAATAAGTGGCCTTTCTTCCAATCCTCAGGTACCTTGCCCTCTTTCCACACCTTCTCCAGTAATGGTGTCATCAAGCCCACTGATGTGTCGTGGTCCATTTCCAATGCTTCTACTGGGATTCCGCCTGATCTTGCTGCTTCTCCAGTTTTTAGCATCTCAATTGCCTTCAGGATTCTTGCTTTTGTTGGAGAGTTCGTATCCACTGGTAGTTTTGCTTCCGTTGTTGGTATTACTGGGAGCGTTGTAGGTGGCGGTCTATTTAGAAGTCTTTTGAAGTGTTCAGTCCAGTGTTTCTTTTGCTCCACCTCTTTGGTGATTGACTTTCCATTTTCATCCTTCACAGGCCTAATTTGTGTTGAATTTTTCGCCGACAGGAAGCTAGTTGATTGGTAGAGTGTCGCAAGGTCTCCTTTGCCTGCAGCTTGTTCTGCTTCGCTTGCCATAACTTCGTAATATTTTCTTTTGTCTTCCCTGGTATTTTTCTTTACTCTTTTATTCACCGTATTGTAGCTTGGATTCAACTCTTGTTTTTGTGTATGTATGTATATGTGACAAATTTTCACACCCAGAATGTACATGAGGCTTGTAGGCACATGAATATAAAAGGCTTTCCAAAATGCTTATTATAGTTTAGGCGTTATAACAACAGAAGTATACATTGAATTAACTGTCTATCTTACAAACCAATTGCAATGAAAAAGTGGGAAAAGACACGAAATTCTATAAAGCGTTGATCAATAATTTTGTAATCACATAATAAATAAAAGCAACGAAGCATAAAGAAGCCTAAAAAAGACACGTTTAAACATAAAGGCAAATTAACCTTTTAAAAGAACAATAAAACCAGGAATGAAATAAAAACAAAACAAAAAGGTGGGATTGCTAGGTCAAAGGAGATAAGAGAGTGATTTTTTAAATGATGGAATTCGCTCACGGTTAGTTGAAAATTAGCAAAATCAAAATCATGATAGTTGAGTGTCCTGAAAGCTATAGACAATTAATTCAAAAAAAAAGGACTCTTGTATAGAAGAATTCAGGTGGAAGGGGAAAACTGATCGGATGCAAAGTAGAATATTTAATGAACCCGCGAAGACTTGAGGAATGAAATATGTTAGGAGAGAGAAACACAACACCAGCACCCTGCAAAAAAAACAATTATCCGACAGTTTCCTTGTGGTAAAGGGACAAATAGAAGAAATGCTTTTTTAGGAGAGGGAAAGGCATCCAGATGAGATAAACAACTTAAAGCAGGTCTAATAAATTTTTAAAGTATATCTAAACATATCCAGTTAATAATGAAGCAATACTGGAGAAGGTCAGTTGTCTTATCCTCATTTCCCTTTTTTTGGAACAATGTAATGTGCCGTGTAAAAAAAAATTCACTGTTTCTGTTGCACAAACGATCAAGACTAATCGATGGGGCAACAGCAGAAGCCATGGAATGTGTTTCAACTCATTTGGTCCTCAACAGTTTGGTTAAGTACAACATTTTGCTTTCCTTTATAGATGTTAAACTTTTGAAACACTCATGTAGAGTGTCGTCCATAAGTAAGTCTATTGATTTATCACCTCAAAACATCCGAAGAATATCGTGTTCTGTAACTGGTATTCCTAATTTACATTTGCGAAATAATCAGACCAAGCCATATCACCATTTATCACACAATATCTTCAAACATATCTTGAAAATGCTATCACTGGACACCTCTTCTTTCCTTTTTTTAATATTTTAGAGTGTTTTTAACAACCATTTTTTTCTTGATTACTCTCTCGCTTCAGTGATGTGTGAGTATAATAACTCCTGATCATTTGTAATACCTATGACTATCTGTCAGGTAATATAGTAGGCCAAAATAAAACTGTTCACTCTACACTTTTACAGCATTTCATTATATCTTGAAAGGTTTAAAATGAAGTCAGAAACGAAAATTTGGTCTATGGTTGATGGTTGAACAGATCGCTATAATACACCCACACAATGATGGTTACAGTTTGTCAATATCAATTATATCATTTCATAGGACCATTGATATTTCTGATGGAGTGAATGACCTTAAAACAAAAGCAACTTTATTTCCGCTGCAAACATGGGGAAATCAGATAAAGGAAGGGAAAAGCATCCCTAACAAATCCGCAGGCTATCATGTAGACAAACAATCACTTAGATAGTGAAAGAAATCCAACCAAAACACCACAGTCGAGAAACACACAGAGTACTGACATCATTCACTGTCATAATGAATAAATTAACTGACATAGTTGTTTTTCAAGCAACCTAGATTTCGGTCAATCAACATTCTCCTCTAAAAGAAGCTGTGGTTTTAACACAGAAATGGATATGGAATCTGTCATATCAACAACAATTTGACTTCTAATCCCATTTTACGTATGAAAGTAAAAAAAGGACTATGAATAACAACTCCCCCGTGTGGAACAAATATACCACTAGTGGGGTGATATTTGTTTTCATGCAAAAGTTTCATGCTTGTATGCAGATATTCTCAAAAAATTATAATTCTATCACAGATAGTTAAGAGTGAAGTAGGACAATAGAAAAAGGGCGGGACTTACTTATTGAATGAACTGTAGGAATTTTCGTAAACCACCGAACCTGAGCCACCACCACCACCATTGGCACCACATTCTGAAGGCGATTTGCTGGCACTCACTTCATTTTGTTCTGAGTTTAAATTTAAATTTACTGATGGAGAACCGGTAAAATTAAATGTGGACATTTGTACATTTTGATCACTGGTCAACAATAATTGATTTTGTTCCAAGTGTTGTTGTTGCTGTTGCTGCTGTTGAGCAGATAATAGATTCGCGGGTGATAAATATGCCTGCATAGAAGGTGGTATCGCGGATCCAGGTCGAGACGTACGTCCATAGGTACCAAAACCTTGGATATACGATGCATTCGCCACATTGTGACCATTCATAGATTGTTGTTGCATTAGACTACTGGCAGCGGCAGCAGCAGCTAGGAATTGCTGTTGCTGTTGTTGTTGTTGCTGCTGCTGTTGTTGACGTAGCTGTTGTTCAACCAAACCAACTTGATGCTGAGCTAATAATTTTGCCTGTTGCAACTGGAGTAATTTATTTGTCTCGGCATTAAGTAGTGCAGCTGGCAAAAAAAAGAAATGTAAAAGGAATTATTTAACAACAGGGAACATAATTAATAAACGATAAATGATAAATATAATGTGCAGTGGCTGATTGTGTTAAACAATCCATTTATCCAAAAAATGACATCACCAATCTTAATGACTCGGTAAGAAAACAAAGATATTGATATTCACTGAATCATATCCATTTTTTAATGGTTGAATCAGTGTACTGACTAATTTGTACGACCTTTGTCATTTGAATACACTCATGAAAGGATCTAAAGGGCTAATATCCAGGATTCGTGAGACAGACAATTAAAATTGTAGTGATTCTGCTGAAAATCAACCTCAATGTTGCAGTTCCATCTGCGTTCAGTCTTGGGCTATAATGAGATTATGTACATTTTTTATACTTCCTCTATGAAACCTCATCTAGATGGGGTGAATCGAATAGATACGTGAGAGAGATGGACGTTCCCACAGTTAAACGATATAGCTTCGACTACTAACATATCGTATAAACATTTTATTTCGCATAACATGATGAAAGCACCGTTGATACAACAACAACAGCAACTGGTATTGACATTCAATGCAGTGATGGAGATTTCTTTGCCACGCCGACGTTTTGGGGGCATGATTGTATTCTCTGAGTTGCACAGTTTTACTGCCAAGCTTTTATTATCCTTTTAGACAACATCCTCAGGTCTAGTCACAAAACGAAAAGGAGATTTGTTTATACATATTATTTATTAGCTGAAAGCCATACAGAATTGACTATTACCACTTTTTCACTGTTGTTTTTTTAATGTTTTCTGGGAAACTTTGATCTTCTTTCATATTACATTTTATCTTCAGTCAGTGTGTCGGTGGTGCAGCGGTAGAATACTCACCAGTCTCGTATTTGGTTCGGGATTCGATCCCCGGCCGAAGCATCCCTAAACCTGGCTAAGCTGGTAATAAGTTCGGCAAAGAGGGCAGATTAGGCGTGGGGCTAGAAGCCCAACCCCGTAAAAATAGACACCACTACTACTGTGGTGAGAGCAGCCTGCTAGCCAATTGGTTGACATTAATCTACATCAATGTCTAGGTCACTAATATGGGCCGTGAGAAAATATGAACAAGGCTGTTTCAACAAGTAATCATAGCAAACTTAAACGTGGGCAAATATGATTCGCAGATAGATGGCTCCACTTTCCGAGGAACTCGAAAACAACCAATCAGAAGACTGCGTTGTCTACTTGACTAGGCTATAATAATGTATGTGAAATTTATATAAATACGTGTTGACTTCCGTAATAAAACGATCTGTTGCCTGGCCCTTGTCTTCTGTTGTTACACTACTATCCCTAATAATACCGAAATTTCAAAGCTGTAGCTTGAAGCCCTTTGTCCTTCTAGGGGAATAAATAATAATAATAAAAATAACAGTAAATAGTCATAAGTAGTTTCGTCTTGCTTTTTTTACGGTAACACGACCTTGAACTATCGATAAAATAGTAGAGTAGTCACTACATCATGAGCACACTAACAAGACGACCTCCCGGTATAGAGGAGACAAAGCCGAGCAGACAAACTGAACTAAGAACCACAGCCTAAACAACAAGTTGAACACTTACACGTGAGTAGATTTATGTGCAGTTTAAATTAATTAACCCAACTTCTGGCCACCAATGAGAATACACTTTGGCAATCATAAGTGTGTATATATGACGACAATAAATATGTGAACAGAGGATGTATTCAGTTTTCTAACCGTAGAATACTACTACTTATCGAGTCAAACAGACGTGATCAGTGAAAAAGAGACGGGACAGTTTAGAGACACAGAATGTAGTAGTACTGTTTAAGTGTTTTTGCAACAGGTGGCTAAAGAATTTCAATGCCATTTAACTACACTTTCAATTTTTTCAATATTTCACTTTCTCTGTCTCTCTCTGTCTCTTATAGCTACGTTAATCCTTCTTTATTCCTGCACTCAGTCAAATTAGCCGGTTGATTGATTTAACCGATTTCTTCATGCTTGAATACATAGAAAACGATAGGAAGAAAAAACAAACAAATTTTCGTTATCAAATAATAGTCAGCAGTTATTTCACAGCTAAAGACGTATGACTTAAAAACCTATGCGATTATTTGATAGAAAAGGTATAATGACTCTAAAGTATAAGACTCTGCTGATGGAAGAAAAAAAACTATCATCACCTGACTAATAAATGATTACTCATTGAAGCATTTAACTTGTTATCGATAATTTAGCTGTATGTAAAGTAATTAAGATATTGATCACTGGCAATTGTGCCATCTAGTTATCATATCTGAGTGCGAAACAAAACGATGGAGTAATGTTGGAGAATGGTGATCCCTGGAGAAGGAACGCACGAACAACGCTTCACACATTCAGTTGTAGAAACCAGGCAGATTTGAGAAAAAAACAAACAGCAAAAGAATGGAAACAGAGTTAAGCATTCACAATAAAGAAAGGTACCCTGTTTAATATTCTTGTTATTTTTCACAATTTCTTCGGGGATATGGTATATTTTATTTGGTTTCGGCAACCTATATCTAAGTGTGTCTGTCTGTCGGTTTTCGACATAGAACTTTGCACTGATGTGGACCAGTTCAAGTCACCACACTCCCTCCATGTAGCACACAACAGCAACAGAACAAAGTAGAAGAAATGCATAATAGAGACAGTAAACAGAGGTGTCAGACAAAGGAATAGTAATAACGAAGAACAACATAGTTTCATTGGAAATCATATGTCACAAGGAGCAGATGCATCTTCGCCAGATACAGAGAACGATTTTGAGCCATATCATCAATTCTTTCCAACCAATGGTTTTTACCGTCCCGAGGACCCTAACCAGTCAGGAAGTCTACATCTTCCTACGTGGTTGGCTTAGACTAACTGTTGTGGATTTCATTGACTGGTGACATGTTTTGGTTTGACCTCCGCTAGCTTTTTTCCAGCCTGACCCTATATCCGCTAACATAGCTCGTCAAGGAGATCTAAATGTGTACTAGAGGGTCATTAGTGGATCCGTTCCCCCCTTGGATCGTTATACTTTAACTAAAGTGTAGAGTAGTACAAAACAAAAGTGTGAGTAATATACGCCTAACAATTTCTATGAAATAGTTTATTGGATATATGACACAATATTCCAAATGCATACAGTTATGAAATCTGGGTTTAAATTTCAGTGTGATAGATACACATACTGTGTGTGATAAGATATTTGAAAGGATGAACTACCCTCAGGGTGTTCTGCTTTTTCAAGTCCAACTCATTATCAGCATTCAAAGCAAGCATACTTAATTAGGTGGAATGGATGTGTAACTTAAAATAACAAGCAAATTTTCGCTTTTTTCAACGATAGAAAAAGGAAATTACCAACTCGCCTATGACAGAATAGAGAATGAGAAATCAGAGAATAATAATAATAATCGACTACTGGAGAGTATAGAAAACACTAGACGAACAAAAATTTGCAATAAATGAAAACACCCACCCCCTTTTTCCTCCAACAACTTTATGTTTAAGAAAGATGAATTAATTAGGCATTGTATATATGAACTAACACACTGCCATTCCAATAAAAAGCAGAGAATAGACAGTATGGAGGAGTAGGAGAGAAACGGGGAAGAAATAAAGAAAGCAAAGGGAAGACAATCACATCAGACTGAATTCAACTAAAACGAAGTAAATAAAAATTGTCCACTCTCTAGTACTGTCTATTATTTGGTAATGAAACGTGAAACACAAGCACACTGTTGTTTCTACTAAAATGATAATTGAATCATTTCACATAGCACAGATGAGATTACAAGCATGCATTGAGAAAAGTTTAAATTCTTCTAATTATTATGCTGAAGAGGAAAATCTGGAATATATATATATATATATATATATGAATGACTGACAGACTTTTATGGAATATGAATATGCATGTGTGAAGTTAATCAGCTACATTGAGTATGCAATGCACGAGTTTTTAAAAACTCCGTTCATCAAATAAACAAGGTAATAATCTTCGACCAAACGAAAAAAGGTGTGATTCACACTGAAAATTGTGCACAGACACATAAATGGTATATAATTATTACTGTGGTATGAATGACATCTACAATAAAGTCGTTTTATTGGTAGTTGTAAAATATGCATGTGTGAACTTTCTTTTTACGTATAATATAGCTCATTATTTTATTCTCTGTATAAATGAGTGTGGAAAATAAGAGGTATACGGAACATAACAAAGCTTCACTTTATTTAAGTGTTGGTTTGTGGAGATTTGAATGGTTACAGGATTTCATCATGAGTCGACATTGGTTAGAGAACCATTGGAAAACCTGGGAGTACTGGACAGCTGTTCATATCGTCCTAGTTTGGGACTCTTCATCAGTACTCACCCACCCCCGAGGTTCGAACCCAGGACCTTCTGGGTACAAAGTGAGCTAGCTCGTAGACCATTAAGCCGCTGGGACCCAATCCAATGGCCCAGGAATTCTATCTTCTGCCAATTCACGACATAGCGCGACCACTAACAAATGTCTTTGGTGAGTATTTGTCCTCACACCCTACCTGCTGTACCTACTGGTCACGACTTCTCACTAGAAACCCAGGTAACTACCTACCTGAATAGGGCAATTTAGATATGATAGAGAAGATTTGTAGCTCAGGTGAATGATCTTGATGTGGTTTTGTTCTCTGAGCTGGATGGTTAATTTGCGAAGCTTTCATCACCCTACTGGGTGACATCTTCAGCGCATACTTCAAATTGAAGTGATGAAAGCTTCGCAAATTAACCATCCAGCTCAGAGAACAAAACCACATCAAAATAGGGCAATGTGCTAGTGAGCACTCGGTGGGTGCGTACTGATGAAGAGTCAGTCCCAAACTAGGATGAAACAGCTGTCCAGTACTTCCAGGTTTTCCCAATGGTTCTCTAACCAAAGCTTCACTTTGTCTACACAGTAATACGACGTTCTGCAGATCGACAACCTGGGGAAATGATGT